TGATGCTGCTTGGCCTGCTGTGTTCATCCAGCCCTGCACCTTGTTGTCTCGGATTCTCCAGCATCTGCAGTTCCTACTATCTCTGATTCGAGCTTATTTATGTAATTTCTGTTTAAATAACTATTGACTAACTTCAAGCATTATCTTGATAATTCTGACCCCTTAGTCTAAGGAATACCAGAAGAGATCTGTGTGTGTACGGAACTGCTTGCAATATTTACAAAGTTAATTTGTAATGAATGTCTCTAGGTCTGTGATTAACTGTACTAATTATCAATGAAGAATGTGTTGGAAAATTACAACAAAATAATAAAGTAACCATGAAGAGAGTGCTGCTCACATGTTGATAAAAACAGTGAGATCTCACTAAATCTCTGTGCAGTTTTTGCCCATCTGGGATGTAGAACTCAGTTCACAATAGCACACACTCCCAAAGGAGATCTGAAAAGAAATCCCCGTGATAAAATACTAACCATCAACACTCCACCAAACACTCTGGTTAAAGCACACTGCTCCCCTAATGGAAGAACTCCTCCTTGTTTTTGTCTTGAAACCAAACTAATGGGAAAGACATTTTGTTTGCAAAAGTATCCGGAATCGTTCCTGCTTCTATAACTTCACAATCTGAATATGCAACTGGTGCAGTAATATGGTATTTACCTGCTGCAGGGCAGGTACTCTGTAATGTTAGCTCTCAACTGCAGTGCGCTGAGGGTCTGAACTCATCATGTCACTTAAACTGCCAGCACTCAATGTGACAAGACCAGCTGCAATGCTTGGTTGACCACAAACACCTCACAGATCTTTGCAGACAGATTTTAAATCGCAAAAATTAATCAGATGTCAGTTATAGTTTGGAATGATTTTGCACATCCTGATGCCACAGTCACTAGGTGTCGAAAGCACAGAATAACCTGAGCCAGAACCAACATTCTAATTCACATCAATTAATAAACATTTGGACAGTACTGGGGGTTTAAGTAGGAAATCAAATTCAATTTTCAGACAAAGTAAGCAGTGGAATTATTTGACTGCGGGATGCAAATCTCATCCAGTCTCCTTTTTAAATCCAGGTATTTGTTCCTTCTGTCAGATTTCCATTTAAATTTGCAGGAGACACAAAGCTGGGTGGGAGGGTGAGTTGTGAGGAAGATGCAGAGATGTTTCAGCGTGAGTTGGACAGTCTGAACATATGGGCAAATACATAGCAGATGAAGGATAATGTGATAAATGTGAGGTTATTTACACTGGTGGCAAAACCAGAAAGGCAGATTATTATCTGAATAGCAAAAAAATTGGGAAAGGGAGAGATGCAATGAGGACTGGGTGTCCTTGTTCATCAGTTACACACAGGTGCAGCCGGCGATGAAGAAGGTAGATGGTATGTTGGCCTTCATAAAGAGAGGATGCAAGTACAGGAGCAGAAATGTCTTGCTGCAGTTTGGGGAGGTGATGGCTTAGGTGTCTTATCATTAGGCTATTAATCGAAAGATCCAGGTAATGTTCTGAGGACCTGGGTTTAAATCCCACTATGGCAGACAGTGGAATTTCAATTCAATAAAACAAAATCAGAATTTACGAGTGTAATGATGACCATGAAACCATTGTTGATTGTTGGGGAAAAACTGTCTGGTTCAACTAACTTTTTAGGGAAAGAAATCTGCCATCCTTACTCGGTCTGTTCTACAAGTGACTCCAGGTCCACAGAGATGTGGTTACCTGTCAACTGCCGTCTGGGCAATTAGGGATGGGCAATAAATGCTGGCTTAGCCAATGACATCAACATCCCATGAATGAATTAAAAAAGAATTATACAGGGCTTTGGTGAAAACCTGCCGTATTGTGCACAGGTGGTGGTGAGCTGCCTTCTTGTAATGCTGTTGACCCACAATGCCCTTAGGGAGGGAATTCCAGGATTCTGACCCAGTAACAGTGAGGAACGGCAATATATTTCCAAATCAGGATGGTGAGTGGCTTGGAGGCGAACTTGTAGGTGATGGTTTTCCCACGTATCTGCTACCCTTGTCCTTCTAGATGGAAGTGGTGATGGATTTGGAAGGAGTTTGAATTAAATGAGGATGGATACAACCTTGCTATCCCAGACCTACATACAAAGTAGCCCACTTGTGTATGTCTCTGTGTCACCTTGACTACATAGTGCAGATTGTCTCTGTCCTACACTCCACTTTCCCTCCCTGAAGGACATTTGTGAACCAGATGGGTTTTTTCAACAATTGCCAATGGTCATCATTAGGCTCTTAATTCCAGATTTTTTATTGAATTCAAACTCCACTATGCACCATGGTGGAATTAGGATCTGGGCCTTCAGGACATCACCAAGTCCCTGGGTTAACAATCTAGTGATAATACCACTAGGCCATTGCCTCCTGTTACCTCGTTTTGATTAAAGTAAGGTTCACTGAGCTGTGAGATTTTGGTCATTTGTCCTTTTATAATCCCTTGTATGAGTGTTGCCTTGTTGAAAGAATTAAGCACACAATCAAGTCTAATAATTCCAGTGCAGTACTGAGATAGTGCAACACTGTTGAAGGTATCACCTTTTCAATGAGACATTATAAACAGGGACCCTGCCTGCCCTGTCAGGTAGATAGGAGAGATCTCCTCATGCTCATTCAAAGAGGAGCAGGGGAATGCTCCCTGGTGTTCCTGGTCAATCTCTAACATCACGAGAAACAAGCGAGCTGCTCATTTCTGTTGATTCTATTTGTGGGACCTTGTTGTGAAGAAATTGGCTATAGCATTTCCTGACTCTGCATCAGACTTCAATTTAATAGGTTTTTGGTATCTAAGTACCTGGTTCAATCTGATTTGCTAAAATCAAAAGCCTGTTGTCTTGGCAGAAAAAAAACCCTGCTGCTTGGCCTGCTAACTGTACAACCTTTCAATACAAGTGTTTCAATTCATGTGCTGTCTGTATACTTGCAAACTTTCAAGCTGCCGCTCACAGACATCTATTTTAAATCTCCAAGGACAGAAAAAAACACGTGATCTTTTAAAGGGACCATGCAAATGCTTTCCCTCCTTGCACTTAAACACCAAATTCTAACTTCCTACCTCCCAATCCACAAGTACGCTACCTACATTTCAAAACATACTTCATTGGGTGTAAAGTGTTTTGGGAGCATTGAGACCTGGAAAAGTGTTACAGAAACTCAGGTGTTTTCTGTTCGATATAAAGACTCACTCTGATTGCTGGTGTCACACTCCTGCACATTACATTTCTGTGTGTTCTCAGGCCAGGGCTCATGGTCACAGCGACTGCTGTCTTCCTCAGCCTCTCCTGTCACTGTGTTTACACACTTCACCAGACGGCGCTGTATCCCTCCACCACAGCGGACTGTGCACTATTAAAATCAACAGCAACAATGTGGAACCATGTAGCTCAGTGCGACCCCCTGTTTATTTAACCAGGCCCTCCCCAGGAGAATGCATCAGTATTTATAGGAGGTCCCTGTGGAGTGTGTCAGTGTTTACAGGGTGTCTCTGGGAAGTGGGGTGGGGGGGGAAGCCCAGGGAGTGTTTCAGTGTTTACAGGGGGTCCCAGGAGGGTGGAGTGTGTTAGTATTTACATGGGTTCCCTGGAGGGGACTGTGTCAGTATTTACAGGGGGTCCCCAGG